TCTCTCTCTCTCTCTCTCTCTCTCTCTCTCTCTCTCTCTCTCTCTCTCTCTTCTCTTTCTTTCTTTCTCTCTTTCCTTTGTTATAATATGTCTGTGACTTAGTGAATGCACATATCATTCATTGCCTAATATTATTGTCGTGTATCTTTTAATCTTCTTTACATTTCATATTTCTTCTATTATCTTCTCAAATAAGTTATTTTTACTTTTTTCTTCTTTGCTTTCGCACTTCTCTCATAAACGAAAAAGTCATTCTGTTGTATCGATTCGTTTTCATTGACTGACTTTACTTGTTCTATTTCTAGTTTGGAATACCTCTTAAAGCTCCTTCGTAAGATGTCGTCCCTTTGCGATCTATCGAAATCGAAAATTGAATGACGAGTAATTCTTACAGAGAAACTTCATTTTAAATCAGCCTCCAAAGCGTCCAATGCAAACAAATCGGAACTTTCAGGTAACATAAAGTTATATCGTGTGGAGACCACATAAACACCGTACTAGATCTAATCACGTGATGTAAGCCTGTACCGCTTACCCCCAACATACCTCTTGGGAAGGCGTCGAATTAATTTGGCTCAAGTGAATGCCAGAGTTCAGGTTATAGAAATAATCTCGGAATTTCATGTCTATTTTTAACATAATTTCTGTACCAGATATTTTATCTTGTTTCAAGTTGTATTTTTCTAGCACACCTCACAGCCACGCCTATAACGTGGGAGAATCTCGCAAAATCTGGACACTGAGATGTGGCCACACTTGGTTTATATCCTTCCTGTTTTCAAATTGGTTTTGGGGTTTTTTCCGTTTCGTTTTTGTTTTTGTTTTGTTTCGGTTTTTTTAAAGAATAAAGATGTTGAAGCCAGTTTATGAGCTGTCAGCACAATTTGCTTTTCCCTTAGCTTTTGATCTGAATCTCATATATATGAATATCGGGTGATATTTGACAATAACTTTTAATTTAAAGGAAAATACAGAATAGAACTAATTATCCTAGCTTTAGGTGCATTTGATAGGTTTTGTTTCCCTAAAAATAACTGTTGTATTTTGTTTTTTGCGTGCTTGTTTTTCTGTCTTTTCTTCCTGTCTTGAATCTTTGCCCCCCCCCTTTCCCCCTCCCCCCCCCCCCTCACGCTTATCGAGCTCTTAATCATGCTTACGAGATCGTCTGTTAGGGCTGAGAGATTTGCAGATTGCCAGGCGAAAGTCTTAAAATGCACAGTTTTTAAGAGCTTTGGCAGGAAAAGGCAATCAGCTTGGCAGGGGTTTTTGTTGTCGTTTTTTTCTGTGTTTCCTTTTTAATCTTCTTATCACCTGTAATATGCAAATCTCTCAACACATCTCCTATTAGAGCTGGCGGCGCCCGCTTATGATCGACGACAGCTGTTTTTAGATCATTTTATTATAGAACCCAAAAATTTCTTCCACGGCGGCAGTTGGCAGTTTTATGCATGTTTTGGCAGTTGCTTCACATGAATTGAGCTGGAAGCCTGCAAACTGCAAAGGATCTGACAACCTGTGTTAAGTGGCCGGGCAGGCAGCAGGTGTGTGTAGTGTTGTAGTTAAGCTCTCCGCCTTGAATACAACGTGTATCAGTTCGAGTCCAATGTGGGGAAAATGTACAACAAACGTCTTCATCTTTATGCTAGAGTACAGTAATACATGAGTCCAGGCACAACTTGGTTATGCCAGGCGGGACGAAGAAACTTCCTTCCAAAATGATATAAACTGTTTTGAAACACAAGTGAACTACCCGGTATTTACAAATATAGATCTCCTGTGTGCGACACCGAAGCGCCTTACTGTTACACCACAGACGCTGGTTCTAATGTAATCCAGTGTGTATTAATGAAAACGATTTTTAAAAATACATCTTAAACAATGAACCGGCGAGTATTCTCCTACTAAGAAATTAAATTCGAAACAATATGATAAGATATTATACATAAAGTTTGGATTTGATGATTTGGAAAAGTATTGTAGCATAAATTTCGCCGCCTCAGAACTATATTTGTCCGAAGTGCTTCTTTATATAAGTACACTTTGGACAAAATAGTTCTGAGGCAACGTAATGTGTATACAGCTTTAGAGAAACGGATATGGCCGGAAAGTGGGATGGGGGTATCGAGGAGAGGAGAGATGATTGAAGGCTGGGATCCTTTAAGAAGGGGTGAGAATAAATGATGGGAGAGGGTAGAAAATAATGCAAACAAACACATACTTAAACAAGTACATGGACCATTTAAACAGAATAACCGAAGTGGTAAACTGACAAATAGACAGACAAATGGACAAACCCCGTGAGGATATGCAACAATTCTAGATTGTTAAAAATACTATGACATGCAATGTTGTACATAACAGTTTAGCTCACAAACGCAATATATACAAAGACAAAGACAAATGAAATTTCCAAAAACATATTGGCAGGTCATTCTCTCACTCACATACGTCACGACAGAAATATTATTTTCGAAAAAAATGTTATACAGTATCATAATTATACACATACACTCGCCCTAGCACACACACACGCACACACACACACACACACACACACATACACACACACACACACACATACACACACACACACATACACATACACACACATAAGCAAACTAAACGACTGTATAAACTAAAACACACAGGAACACAGACAGGTTAACAATACTATGCATCAACACGAATACACATAGAAGCACTCAGAAAAAAAGACAAATCTAATGCATATATTATATGACTACAACAACAAGTACGCAGATGGACGAATAAACAAAAAGCAAACATTTTATTTTCGTGCACAATCTTCAAGTTTGGGAAACCACACCCGAGCCCTCAGACAGCAAAGAAAAGAAAAGATGAATATTTAAAAAATGAAAAACACTCGAACAACTGAAAAAACCCCCAGGAGAAATAAATACCGAGAAGCAGAAACACTAACAAAAGAAGCGCACTTTCCCCCCCTTGAATGTTTTAATATGAGGAGGTCAATGCCGTAACCCAAGGCCTACTTTTGATCGGAAGAGATAGTGGATATCTGCAGCAGCCGCGAAAATCCGGTTAACCTATTATTTATAGTTTATTTCAGAGTCATTGATTTTTAATCGCACATCATCATCCCATCTCTGAAAGTATTCCCAGCGACCTCACACGAAGTGTTTTGAGAGAATTTATGTTATAGAACAAAAAATATATCATGTTATAAGTTACCTGTGTGCGTATGCAATGATATTGTGTTTATTCAAGTATTCTTTTTTTGAGAGGTAGCGGTAGATAACTGTATTTAGTTAACTTGGTAGCCTACAACATTTTAAAAGGACAAAGAAGAGTGGAGTAGAGACATAATTATTTCAAGCTCGTGATTATTAGTAATATTACGATCTCATGCCTTTCACTGTTCATAAGATCCGTTTTATTACTCCAAACTAGACAGGACGCTAACATAAATAAAATGTGACAATGTTTAATTACGAAAGTGTACGCCTGAAATCCGGTTAATCAAAAAAGTGGGTACTGGCTAAGATCTCCGAGATACAGGCTGCTCAGAGTTTATCTGTGGCATTTAAAATTGTTTGCTCAAAAAACACACACAGCGGGCCCGCGCCCGCCTCTCATGTCCCTGACATTTGTCCGCACGTGAATTCCTGGCGTGAGCTCTCCGCTCCATTTCTGTTCACGCCTCAGATTAACCTTTGACCTGAAAGAAAATTTGGTGGGGCTCGTGTGTGTGTGTGTGTGGGGGGGGGGGTGTTCAGGTTGCCCCCTTTTTATCTTTTTATTCAGACAGAAAGCCTGTGAAAAGAAATCATTGTCAGAACATTGAACATGGACTAATTTCGTTTTGTTGTCTTCTGAAGAACTGCAAAAGGACTCATAGAAAATAGAAGAATTTTTGTGTGTTTGTTCCACATATCTTCGGTGGATAACCTGGATTTTTGTCTCTCGGCCACGCCCACCTTCTCCCCGTCACACCCTTAAGGCGTCTGAGGTGCAATGAAGAGTCATCCCCTTCTAAGCAAAAGTGAGGTTAAAATATATATGGAAGTTTGCAGTGTTGAAAAATCGGATGACAAAACTTGCAGCGTTTAATTTAGGTTAAAGTACTGGCGTCTATGGTGTAGCAGTTAAGCGTTTCGCTGTCCCAGGCAGGAGACCCGAGTTCGATTTCCGAGAAAGGAGAAAGTTGAATATCGAGTATCTCGGTCTTCCTGCTGGGATGTTGTGACATGCATTCTTCTCAGCTCAGGATGACCCTGACAAGCAGGGTCGGAAGCCCGACTCCAAATCTATCTCAATTGTGTTGATGGGAGCGTAATACATTGTATTACAATTTGTAATACTAAAAACACTTACTTTAAAAGGAGAAATGGAGTTTAAAGTGGCAATGTTCTTCTGTTGTCCACAGACTCCCGTCTGCCGTGGTATCTACAACTGAGCTGGTTGCTGTATAATCTGATGGTTACCGGGGGAATCATGATCTGTCTCTGGTACTGGAGCATGGTGCATCGTGGTGAGTGGCACTGGACATTTGTGTTTGTTTCTTTCTTCGTCTTTTAGTTTATCTCTTCATCTCTGCTTTCGGCCTCTACCTCCCCTGGGTCCCTTTCTCTCTTCCCTGTCTCTGTGTCTTTCTCTGTCTCTTTTTCTGTTTCTGTTTTTTTCTGCTATCTCTTTGTTTTTCTGTCTGTCTGTCGATCTGTCTCATTCTCTGTCTCTGTCTGTGTCTCTGTCTGTGTCTCTGTCTCTGTCTCTCTCTCTCTCTCTCTCTCTCTCTCTCTCTCTCTCTCTCTCTCTCTCTCTCTCTTATGTCTGTCCGTCTGTCTGTCCATATATCTGTCTGTCTGTGGCTGTCTCTGTATCTCTCTTTCTCTCTGTCTCTGTCTCTGTATTTCTCTCTCTCTCTCTCTCTCTCTCTCTCTCTCTCTCTCTCTCTCTCTCTCTCTCTCCTTCTTCTCTTTCTTCTTCTCCTTTTCCTTCTCTTTCTCCTTTTCCTCCTCCTC